TGTGGCAGTTTGTTGTAGCAGGAACAGGAAACTGATACAGTCTACTTCCATAACCATTCTCTTGGGGGTAAGGGGAGTGTCAGGACTCAGTATAGATTTGGAATTGTTTACTCACTGATTTCGGGGTGGAGCTGAAAGGCATGTACCTGTCCTCCAGAAGGCAAGTGGGCATGGTGTACGTGAAAGGGATATAAGCAAGACTCTGGCCTGCTCCCAAGAAGTAGAAGATCCATCCAGCAGGGGCAAAAGGGATGACCGATTCCAACAGCAGGTCCTATGGTGAGTTTACACAGATAAGAGGCTCAGAATGTTGACGGCAGGCTGGGCTGCAAATGTTGTTAGGAATTTGATTCCAGTTTTGTTAATACCTAAACTAATAATAGAGAAGAGAATTTCGGGCGCCTGGGTGGCTCAGATGGTTGGGCGTCTGCCTGCGGCTCAGGTCATGATCCCGGGGTCCTGGGATCGAGTCCCGCATCGGGCTCCCTGCTCCTTGGGAGCCTGCTTCTCTCTCTGCCTCTCTCTCTCTCTGTCTCTCATGAATAAATAAATAAAAATTAAAAAATTAAAAAAAAACAGTTTCCACACTCAGAGAAGAGAATTTCCACCAGGATTTTGGTCTGGGTGTTTTTTTGATGTGGGTTACTGGAAGAAGGGTAGATATGATGGAGGAACATGCCTGCTGGTAGACACCCTAAGTGCTGAATTCTAGGGGAACAGATGAGTTGGAAGATACCCTGTAAAACCGGGTCTCTTCCCAGGGAGGCTGGTGAGAGAAAGCATGAGCATCCTCACTGATTGTGGGTGCATATGGCTGAATATGCTGCAAGCAGATTATTTAACATGACAATTTAGTTATGTTAATGCTTCACTTATATGGACATAGCTGAAAGTCAGAAAGGAAATAAAAATCTTTTGGGTAGTCAAAAAAGATGTTTCAGGGGTGCCTGGCTGGCTCAGTTGGTCAAGCATACGACTCTTGACCTCAGGTTGTGAGTTCAAGCCCCATGTTGGGTGTAGAGCTTTCTTAAAAAAATAAAATAAAATAAAAGATACACTAAAAAAAAAGATGTTTCAGGGTTTGCATATTTTGGTTTTAGTACACTCTGTGGGCTCTCAGTTCAGCTCTATCCATTCTTCTTGTGCATGTAATTCTAAGATGTGTAGTCATCTGATTTCTGGCCAAACAGATAAAAAAACAGTACTTCTTAGGAAGCCAGAAGATAAGGGCAGGCAAACAGACGACCCTAAGAGGAAACAGTTGGCAACCTGTGTGAGCAATGCTAACTGCAAAAAGTAAACATATACACAGTGGTATCTCCAGACACTCTTGTTGCCCAGCCCTGCTCCAGCCTCACAATCTCCATACAGTCCACCAACGAAAGGGTTAACTCCTGGCAAAGCCCGGGGCTTCCAGACCTTGCTATAGCACCAAGTATCACTTCTGTCCTGATTGGTCATGCCTTGGCCCTATCGATGTTAATAATTAGAATATCACTCAGGAACATCCAATGTATATTGCTTTAATAATTAAGCTAGCTAACTTTCCCCCCTCAGTATCTAAGAAATCCAAAAATAAAACAGTTAGGGGTTGTTTCATGTAGGGAGAACAGTCTTATATAGTTATAGGCCCATGGGCATTTAATATATGACAATGCAGGATAATTGATTTTTGTATCAGCGAGCCTCAGTCATTAAGAAAAACTTAATTACATTAGCTTAATCTGTTTAGGAAACAGGCATGAGTGTGATACATTTGAGAAGTTAATTTTAATCCAAAAGAGACTGTGTATTGGTACTTATATAGAATTGAGCCTTTAACCATCTAGAAAGTTCACTTGTCCAGAATGATTCATTCTTCAGGATTCCAGAGCTAGCACTCCTGAATGAAACAAAATGATGGCCCGTCTGTATTACCACAACCAGAATGTGCATATTCTTGGGTAGCCAGATCCATTCTTCTATGCTAGTCTTTTTTTTTTTAAGATTTTATTTATTTATTTGAGAGAGAGAGTGAGCGAGAGAGAGAGAGAGCACAAGCCAGAGAAGAGACAGAGGGAGGGAGAAGCAGACTCCCCACTGAGCAGGGAGCCCGATGCGGGGTCCTGGGTCCTGGGATCATGATGCAAGGATCATGGGATCACGATGCACGGTCCTGGGTCCTGGGATCCAGGGTCCTGGGATCATGACCCGAGCTAAAGGCAGATGCTTACCTGACTGAACCACCCAGGCATCTTATGCAAACCTGATCATTGGCTCACCTGGGCTGGCCCGACCACCCCTCCATGCTCACCTGGGCTGACCACCCCTCCCTGCTCACTTGGGTCGATGGTGCTTCCCTGTTTACCTGGGCTGACCATACATCCTTGCCCCTTCCTTTTCTTTGCCTCCGTGGGTCTCCGTCATGGAGCTGTGGGGGCACTGAGGAAGAACAAAGCTCCCTTCTCATTTTTGACCTGATGTTATGATGAAATTGACTACCTGACAGCTCATCTCAGCCAGTCGCTCAAGCCATAGGCCTAGAAAAACAGGAGTTTAGAATAAGACACAGCCTTGAGCCGGAGATGTGGTCGGATGATGGCAAAAGTGAGTTCAGAATCAAATGTGACACCCTGAAAAAACAAATTAAAATGAAGGAAAAACCCGAACCAAAATAAGCAACGTGCTTCGCAAATACAAGAAGGAGGAAACTCATGTTCAAAGTTAATGGAAAATTTTATGGTTGAAGAAGACAGTGAGTTAGAAAGTAGGCAACGGAAGGGACCCTGCTCGACTCTGTCGACTATGTCCTTGGAGTCTGCCGCCGGGGAGAGGGAGGGACCCTCTTTCTCCAGTAAGGTGCCCTCCTTAGCAGGTGGGTCCTGCCTGGTCCGATCTCTTGGTGAACTCATTCCTCACTCTAACCCCCTCTTGTCCACACTGGTCAGCTGCACAGCTTCCCAGCCCGCCCTGGCTCTTGCCTGAGCCAAGGATTTGGAGAAACCAGGGCAAGGCTGCGGGTCTGATGGATGAGTATATTGCAGGATGGCTCCATGGTGAGGTGGCTAAAATCACAGACTCACATGCGCTTACTGTGAGGACTCTGTGGGGGCAATAAAAGGGCCAGGGCTCCCTGGGCATCCCCAAAGTGCTAAGCACAGGACGGGGGCCCCAGGGCAAATGGAGTCATGGGTAGTAGCAGACGCCCTCCAATTCCCCAGCAGGCAGCAGACACCTGCTCCTGGGGGGCCCTCCTTACTGTGAGTACGGGTCCTGTCTCCTCACACTGCCCCGGGCCACCTCCTCCCTCCCTGCCTCCCTCTGCAGGCCGCCTTGACCCCTCACTCAGCACCACCCCCCCACCCCCCCGCCGCCTCCTGCCTCCCTCGCTCGGGCTCTGCACCCCCAGCAGCCAGCAGGCCATGACCTTTCAGGCTCCCTCTGCGCTCCCTCTTTCCCCAAGTCCCACTTCAGATTCCCAAGAAAAATGCTCAGACGCCTCGATTTGTGTTTCCCTGCCCTTTGGACGTCAGGGGTCCCTGGCCTGTGGGAAGGTCCCTGGCATCCTTGCTGTCCTCAGGAGAGGAGGGCTCTCACCCAGGGCCGGGGCCCCGCAGGCAGGGCATGACCCACTTTGCAAAGACAGGAGAGTGGGCTTCTAATTTCTGAAAATGTGGAAGAGAGTTCCAGGAGGGGAAGAACGAGCCCCTCATTTTTGTCTGTAGCTCCCTCGCGAACAGGCTGGCTGATGATGAGAAGTCCCTTCCTTTCTTCACAAAGGGAGGGATCTGAACAGAGGATACAAGCCATTCGCCACACACCCTTCCTTTCGTGGAAGCCTACTCAGGGTGGGGAAACAGGCATAGAGCGGGTGAGGAACTTGCTCGGGGTCACACACGGCTCGTCAGAGGCAGAGCGGGGATCTGAACCCCATCAGTCTGGCTTCAGAAGAACCCTTGCTCTTGGCCAGGCTCTTTTGGCACTGGCACGTAGCGGGTCCAGCGTCCCCGGGCTCCAGGGCTGAGCTCGGGTAGCGGGGGTCCCGTTAGCACTGCTCTCCAGAACAGGACGGTCCTCTGTGTCTGGCTAGTGCCCCACGTGCCCTGCGGGGACACCGCCTGCCTTGTGCCTTTGCCCTCTCGGAAGGGCATGGGAAATGCTGGCCTGTCAGCAGGTATAAACTCAAAAAGTTTCTCCCTCAGCTGGTTTCAAGGACTGTTTACCCAAGTAGACACAGGAGGATTAGGCACACGGCTAATCCAACCTGTTTGGGTCTGACCAAGCGCCCTGCAGCTGTCAGAACGAAGGCTTCCCATGGAGGAACAGGATGCCCACACTCCATGGCCCCGAGGCACGCCCTGGGACGTGGTTCCCGAGCTGGGGCTCCAGGGTCTACAGGCGATTCAAGAGTGAGGCTAAGAACCCAAGGGCCTCCAGGCGGGACTCTCGGGCCCGTGCCCAAGTCCAGGGGGCCAGGCCATTTCCCAGGACAGCCGGCCGAGGCGGCCCAGGTCTGCAGGGGCTGCCCGTGTGGACTGCTGAGATGGGCAGGAAATAGCAAGCCGAATCCAGCTAGGGCTTCCAGGCCCCCCGGAGATGGCCCTCACCCCTTCTCAGAGTCCCCGCTTGCCAGGAGCAAGGGCACAGGAAGTGTCATTGTCCCGGGAAATCTTCCCCATCCTGATTCTCTGCCTTGGGCCTTTGCCCTGTCCTGTGGCCACTCATCCACAAAGGGCGCACTGTGTGGTCCTTCAAGTGAGTTTTCATAAGGTAGGACACGGAACAACCCAAACCGTGGGCTCAGGGCCCGTGGTGGTGACGCCAGTGGGGCTCGGGCGAGCGCACCACCCGGCCCCGCCACCCGAGTCACAAGGACCATTGTGGGAAGGTGTTATTGTTTTAGTGGGTGCAGCTGAGGGTGGGTTAGTCAGTGAGACTCGGTAAATTGTTATTTACAGTTTCTGAGCTTTTAAAAGAAGAGTGTGGCCCCAGAGTCAGCGTGATTCCAGACCCGAGGCACCATGATGGCTTCGGCACTGCTGCTGGTCCTGCTCGTGCTGGGGGCCAGGGCCCAGCACAGTTCGGAGTGGACCTACTCAGGTAAGCCCCCACCCCAGGGGCTGCGCCTTTCCTCGTTACCCTCATCCCTGCTGGGCCGGCCCTTCCTGCCTCCAAAGAGCACACTGAACTCAGACCCCTGATCGGAACAAGGCGAGGTCGCTCTCCTTCCCCGGACCCCCCCCGCTGCCCCGGCAGGTGTTTCTGCTTTAGAACCTTCTCTGGCCACAGTGCTGGCTGGAGAGCCTGCCTGCCGCCTCTGACTGCGAAGCCCTTTGCTTTCCCCGGCTCTGCACGTGGAGGAGGAGGTTGCTAGAAAGGGCTTCCTGCCATCTCACAGAGGGTGTGCGGGTTTGTGAGAGCTTTCTTCTTGGAGAGCTGTGGTCTGAGGTTTACCCAGAACATCCCGACTTGTCGAGAACCCGGCAACTTTGCACGGCCCCTAGGCTGCCGTCTCCCAGTGGCCATGACCCTGCTGAGGCCCAGATCTGCACATCTGGACCCGAGTCACCCCTCCCATGGGGCGGTGAAGAGAGCTCCTGCCCCTACCCCCCTTTTCCTGCACTGCACCCAGGATGGGGCTCTGGAGGACCCTCAGGGCCGCTGGCTGACCCACTCTCCACATGGCGCCCCCCAGCTTTGGACACCAGCGGAAGCATACATTCAGGGTGGATGGATGTCCTGTTAAGTCAAGGGCAACAGAATTAAGGACATCATGGGAGGCTCAGAGAGTCCAGTGTCAGAGGACAGGACCCCCAGCTCTGACCAACCGTCCTGCTCTGGAGCAGAGGAGGCCACGTACGGCCAGTGCCACAGAGGCCCTGCTTCATGTGGCTTGTTGGTACTAGGGGTGGTTCAGACAGGTAAGCAAGAGAGAGAGAATTCCAACAGTCAGGTCTTGTCCTTTCCAGGCTCAGCCCAGTCTCTGAGACTGCGGGCCTTCTGGAAAGCCACAGGGCCCCAGGAACACTCGGGGCAGCTACTTCAAAGGCCTTTCAGGAATATTTGAGAAACCCACACCACTGCTAGGGACACAGGCCAAAGCCTCTTGATCCCTGCAAGGGGCTGTGCTCGGGGCCTCTGGCCTTGATCCTGGCATCCCACCTCTGGGAAAGAATTGTTTAAATATTGATTTGTAGTATTAAATCAAGAAGAGCAGAGAAATAAAAAACTGACTTTTCTGTTGATTGCAAAACCGAGTAGCTGTGAGGGGCCCCAGTACAAACATCTTCCTTAAAACAAGCCAGGCACTTGCCGTGCAGCTACCCCCTAATGGGGGAGAGAGCTTGGGTCCCCGACTGCGAAGGGGTGGGCCTGTTACAGGAGGACTAGCTTTCCTCCTCTCCCTAGAATTATTGCCCACCTTAAAAAAAGAGGCATTTCCTTACTTTCATGTTTTTCAACGAATCACTTTGGTCATCTTTGAACATGATGCTTCCCCTTCTTGCCCTGAATCCATAGGTCTCTACCCTACTGGGACCCAATGAAAGGGGCTGGAGCAAGTCACCAGGTGGGGGGTCCTGCCGTTGGGGAGGGGACTGCAAGATTGTTGGGGGAGGGGAAGAAAGACTGTGCCCTTAGGAGGAAATGGGGACAGGACCCGTGGGAGCAACATGGCAGTGCCAAGCGCCAGGGAGCCTTCCAGTGCATCTATCAGCATATTCCCATGCCAGGGAAAACTAAAGCTATATATTAAAGACCTTCGTTGTTTCCCAAGCGCCGACTGTTCTCGGCGCCAGTGACAGCAACAGGGGAGTCTGGAATCCGTGTCAAAGCCCCTGAGACACCAGGTTCCACGGAGCGGACCTTGACGGCGTCCTTCCCACCTCCTTCTGGGGGTCAGGCTCTGTTTTCCAGAAGGCAGACCTCTGGCCTTGGTCCTGGTCTCCCACTGGGCAGACCCTGCTAAGGGCTAACCGCCCCCCTGCCGCCCAAACTCTTACTCCCCTTGGCTCTCTCCTGTCACAGAGGGGGCACTGGACGAAGAGCACTGGCCAAGGGAGCACCCCACCTGTGGGGGGACGAGACAGTCACCCATCGACTTGCAGAGGAGAAAGGTTCAGTACAACCCCTCCCTGAAGGCTCTGAAACTGTCAGGCTACGAGGTCCAGGCAGGCGAGTTCCCCATGGTCAACAACGGCCGCACAGGTAAGGGGCAGGCGGCAGGACGCCGTCCACAGGCGCTCGGCAGCGGCGGCAGATGCCAGAAGCCAGAGCGGCACACGGGGGATGCAGAGCACAGGTTGGGAGCTGCAGGCCCCAGGCGGGGGGTGGCCTCCACCCCAAGCCGCGAGGGAGGGCCTCTGTCTTTGGCCTCAGTTCCTGGCTGGCTCCTTCCTTCTGTGCGTTAACCTCTCCCCAGCTCAGGCTGACCCAGCCAGCATGCAATCCAGCTGACCGAGGCACTGACCCGCCTGCCATCTGTCGTCTGTGCCCTGGTCTGACTTTTCCATATTTTCTGTATTGAGTCTGATTGGCTCAAAATGCCTGACAGGTGGGCCCAGTATCCCTCAAAGGTTTTATTTATTTATTTATTTAAAAAATTTTTATTTATTTATTTGACACAGAGAGAGAGCACAAGCAGGGGGAGGGGCAGGCAGAGGGAGAGGGAGAAGCAGGCTCCCCACTGAGCAGGGAGAACTTGATCCCAGGATCCTGCGATTATGACCTGAACCGAAGGCAGACATTTAATCGACTGAGTCACCCAGGCGTCCCTCAAAGGTTTTACAAAGAGGCTCTTGAGGTCTTGAATTGGGTCTTCTTCTAGGAAGAGGGTGGAGGCCAGATAGGAAAAGGCTGACCTGGGTCTTGGACACACCACCCCCCCTTTAGAAGCCTGGACTGGACAACTGGAAAATCCATGCTTTATGTTTACTGAACACACTTCTGAGTTTTCCAAGTGGGCCCATCTCCTCTGAGCTTCATGATACCTCCCACTCCTGGCAGGGGGCCTTGTTTAGGCTGGAGGCCAGGGGCCTTGGGAGGCTGAAGGACTTAAGGTCACACAGTCTCTGGTGGCTGAGCCGGACCCAGGCCCCTCCCCTTCATGTCTGATTCCTCAACCACGTCCTCCTTGGACACCCCCCCGACTTCCACCTGGGCAGAGGTGCATGGGGGTCACAGGATTTAGATCTCCCATTTGCACAAGTGAGAAGATAAAACCAGTTGCCCTTAATGAGGCTGGTGGACACAGGAGAGTGAAGATCTATAAAAGGCCTCAGGCACACCTGGCCCAGATCCCTGAACTCCACAAATAATTCATGAAAGCCTGATTTTATCATTAATGTCAAGCTCCTGTTTCCAAAGTTGCTCCCTGAAGCCTCCAGCAGGTTGGCAGGTTGGAGCTTCCTCTGCTCTCCTTGCCCTCGAGGAAGAAGGGCCAAAGGTGGCAGCTTAAAGGCAGGGGAGAAGCTTGGTTGACCCCCTCGGACAGGCAACCAGAAGTATTGAAGGATTGAAAACCCCCACTGGTAGGGCGCCTGGGTGGCTCAGTTGGTTAAGCAACTGCCTTCGGCTCAGGTCATGATCTTGGAGTCCCTAGATCGAGTCCCGCATCGGGCTCCCTGCTCAGCGGGGAGTCTGCTTCTCCCTCTGACCCTCCCCCTTCTCATGTGCTCTCTCTCATTCTCTCTGTCTCAAATAAATAAATTAAATCTTTAAAAAATAAATAAATAAATAAAAAGAAAACCCCCACTGGTAACATGGGCTGTTTGTGTTGCATGTCTGCTGGGAAGGGCTTTGTGCTGAGGACCCAGGAGAGGGGAGGTGTTAGGAAGGTCCCAGCTTCCCCGGGGGAAGGCGGGGGTGGGGGGGTTGGGGGGGGGCGAAGCTTACAGTGGCTCCCTCTTCCCAGTTTGGAGAGGGCCCTGGACCTTCCTCCTATGGGCTGTATTGGGCTCTCTGGAGGCTGGAAGCCTATACGGTCCCCAATCTACCCTACGTCATATCAAACATATTGGAATGCACTCAAACAGCTCCCATTACTTGTATTTTTTTGATGTCAAGGATTTTGAAAGATTTTTAGAACTCTTTACAATTGGCTTTACATTGTCAGCAAGCTCCAAGCTTCAAGAATTCTACTGAAGGAAAAAAAAACAACACCCTAATCAACAAGTTTTCAAATCTAATAACATTTTGGTGAATCAGTTTAGAACAATAAAGTTGATATGATATAAACACTTATTAATTTTTATTTTGCAGGGTTCTTTTTAGATCTTGGAACCTAAGATATAAATATATATATGTATTTATATATATATTTTTTTAATTGACTTCATTTTTTAGGGCAGTTTTAAGTTCATAGCAAAATTAAGAGGAAAGTACAGAGATTTCTCATACACCCTCTGCCCCCACATACATTGTCCCCCCCATTATCAATATCACTCACCAGAATGGTATGGTTTTTTAAAAAGATTTTATTTATTTATTTATTTATTTATTTATTTAGCGAGTGAGCAGGGGGAGGGGCAGAGGGAGAGAGAGCAAGAATCTCAAGCAGACTCTGTGCTGAGCATGGAGCCCCACACACGGGGCTCCATCCTATGACCTGAGCCAAAATCAAGAACCAGTTGCTTAACCGACTGAGCCACCCAGGCGCCCCCAGAATAGTACTTTTTTTTTTTTTTTTTTTTTTTTTACCAGGGACGAACCTACCTTGACACAACATAATCACCAAAAGTCCAGAGTTTGCCTTAGGGGTTGCTCTTGGTGTTACACATTCTATGGGTTTGAGCAAAGGTAGAATGGACAGTATTCGTCATTACAGTATCATACAGAGTATTTTCACGGTCTTCATTATCCCCTGTGCTCCGCCTGTTCTTCTCTCTCCCCACGGCCACCCTGGCAGCCACTGATCCTTCTACTGTCTCCATAGTTTTGACTTTTTCAGAATGTCACAGAGTTGGAATCATACAGCACGTAGCCTTTTCAGATTGGCTTCTTTCACTTAGTAACGCACTTAGGGTTCCTCCGTGTCTTTTCACGGCTTGATAGCTCACTTCTTTTTAGCATTGAATAATATTCCATTGTCTGGATAGCCCACAGTTTATCCATTCACCTACTGAACGGCATCTTGGCTGCTTTCAAGTTCATAATTCAGCAATTATGAATAAAGCTGGCATAGACATCGGGTGCAGAGTTTTGTGTGGACGTTAAGTTTTCAGCTCCATTGGGTAAAGACCAAGGAGCATGATTACTGAGCTGTATGGTAAGACTGTGTTTAGTTTTGTCTTCCAAAGTGGCCGTGCCATGTTGCATCCCCCACCAGCAGTGAGTTCCTGCTGCTCCACAGTCTCCCAGCATTTGGTGTTGTCAGTGTTCTGGATTTTGGCTGTTCTGATAGGTGTGCTGTGGTATCTCACTATTGTTAATTTGTATTTCCCTGATGACATACAATGCGGAGTCTCTTTTCACATACTTATTTGCCATCTGTCTATCTTTGGTGAGGCGTCTGCTAAGGTCTCTGGCCCATTTTTTAATTAGGTTGATTGTTTTCTTATTGTTGAGTGTTAAAGGGTTCTTTGTATATTCTGGCTAGGAGTCCTTTATCAAGTGTGTCTTTTGCAAATATTTTCTCCTAGCCTGGGTTTTACCTTCTAAGTCTCCTCATAGTGTCTTCTACAGAATAGAAGTTTTTATTTATTTTTTTTAAAGATTTTATTTGAGAAAGAGAGAGAGAGGGAGAGAGCACAAGCAGGTGGAGGGGCAGAGGGAGAGGGAGAAGCAGACTCCCCGCTAAGCTGGAAGCCCAACACGGAGCTCGATCCCAGGACCCTGAGATCACAACCTGAGCTGAAGGCAGATGCTTAACCAACCGAACCACCCAGGCGCCCCTTACAGAATAGAAGTTTTTAATCGCGATGGAGTCTAGCTCGTCAATTATTTATCTCATAGATACTGTCTTTGATGTTATGTCTAAAAAGGCATCACCACGCTCATGGTCATCTAGGTTTTCTCCTATGCTAGGAATTTTATAGTTTTGCATTTTACATTTAGGTCTGTGGTGTATTTTGAGCTAATTTTGGTGACAGGTGTGAGGTCTGTGTCTAGATTGGTTTCTTTCCACATGGATGTCCAGTTGTTCCAGCGCCATTTGGTGAAGACTCCATTGTATTGTCTTTGTTCCTTCGCTAGAGATCAGTTGAGTATATTTATGTGAGTCTATTTCTGGGCTCTCTGTTCAGTTCCATTGACCTATTTGTCTCTTCTTTTGCTGATACTACATTGTATTGATTATTGTCACTTAATAGTAAGTCTTCAAGCCAGGTAGTGCCGGCCCTCCGGCTTTGTTCTTTTCAATATTGTCCTGGCTCTTCTGGGTCTCTTGCTACTCCATATAAACTTCAGAACCAGTTGGTTGATATCCGCAAAATAACTTGCTGGAATTTTGATTGCATTGACTCTATAGATCAAGTTGAGAAGATCTGACACCTTGGCAATATCAACTCTTTCTACCCAGGAACACAGAATATCTCTCCATTTATTTATTCTTTGATCTCTTTCATCGGAATTTTGAACTTTGCTCACATAGATCTTGTATGCACTTTGTTAGATTTGTACGTAAGAATTTAATTTGGGGGAGTGCTCATACAAATAGCACCCAGCTTTTAATTTCAAATTCTACCTTATATTTACATTTTTAGGTACCCCATGTTTTATTATTAGGTCCAACAGATATATAATTATATTTCAGTAAAGAGAAATTGAAAACATAGTTGGATATTGAGACAAACTTAAATTGCTACAAAAGTTTCCAAAACTTAGTCTCAATTTCCCTATTTAGTTGTGGACTAGTAAAAGTACCAGTACTAGTACTGGGTGGACCAGTACTCATTGATTAATATATATATTCTTTATCCCCTAAAATATATATTCATAGGTTCCAGAGAAGCTTACAGGACTGAGACATGGGCCTCTACAGGTCAGTGGGAGAAACAACACTGTTGTCTTAGTAGGTACTATTAGCTACTCCATTTGTTAGGCTCCTTGAAAGGATCTCTCATTCACCCTTCTATCTCCATACCTGGCACAGAGCCTGACATGGGTCAGATGCACTTACGTGTGAGAGGATAAATCCCAAGTAGACGCCCATGAGTGATGTAGGCTTCTCAGCAGGTTTCCATCTCTGAAGGCTGAGGGAGCAAGGCTGGTTTTGTCTTTAATAAACAAGAACAACAACAACACAAAACAAAACAAAACAAAACCACTTTCATTTTGAAATAGTTTTAGACTAGAAAAACTGCAAAAATAGTACAGAGTTCCCACATACCCTTCTCCCACTTCCCCTAATATCAACATCCTATAACCTTACTACCTTGATAGTACAACGCGATCGACTACTTCACAGACCCTTGTGAATTCCATCACGTTCCCATAGATGTCCTCTCTCTGCTCTGAGACCTCATCCGGGATCCCACAATCCATGGAGCTCTCCCATCTCCTTAGTCTCCTCCAACCGCGGTCAGCTCCTCCGTGTTTCTTTGACCTTCACGACCGGGACACTTCGCTGTCGTTTTCTCGGGCACAGAAAATGCTTTCTTTCTTTTGGCTTGAAAAGAACTTGAAGAACTTAGTTTTAAACAAAGAGGAGCACCTTCTGCTAACAGTTAAATCAATGCTCAGAATCTGGGAGGTTCAGCAAGTTCACCTTTGGGGACAAGTATTTGGCTTCACCTTTCCAAAGGCACGGTAACATGCTCTGAAGTAACATGCTGCCATTTTTCAATCCAGCCCATGCGATCCTGTCGATAAAACCTGAGCGGCAAAACGCTCTGTCTGCAGGGAATTACGATTGGGGGAAACATCCCTGTCAGGAGTTTTGTCATTGTGCACGTGGGGCTAACTGTCCAACTAGAAAGTTCTGGTCTGGTGTTCTGCTTTCCAATCTCTGGGCACAGATGACTCTGCGTATCTTCTTTTAAAGGCTTTTCCATTTTTTTTTTCCCTATGAGCATTGATTTGGAGGCAGGCTGCATTTTAAGCACTAAATAAATACAAAGCTCTGCCAAAGAGCATGTTAAACCCTTTGGGGTCAGATTCCTGTTTTACAAGCATATGAACTTAATCACAGCTCCCTGCTGCTTTCGACAAACTGGAAGGGAAGAAGGGCACATTATGGATAGATAGCAAATCCCTAACGTTTACTCTTTAAGAAAGCCCGCTTGTTTATAATCCTCTTTGATGACTCTAAATAGAAAGACCTGGCTAACAGCATAGATGCTGCTTGTCCCTGTCCCAGTCCTAAATTATGTACATCCTCATAGATCTTTTTCTTCGTCACTCTGCTGTCACCCTCCTGTGTCTCCCTTTGGCCTGGCTCATTCCAAAACTTAGTGATGTCTCTGAGGGCTGAGCCAGTGAAGCGAACAACTTTAGCTAGGTGACCAGAGTGACCTCCCTGGGGCCAATCTGTAGGTCATGGGGCAGGAGGAGAAAGTGGGACGAGTGGCCCGTTTTCCCGTCGGCAAGAACTTAACACTTGAACGCATCCACTGATAAGAACGTCAAGTTAAACCCCAGGCCAGGGGTTCGTGCGTTTCCTGATTTGCTGTAGAATTTGGTCTCTAGTCTTCTGAAGACAAGTGGAGGCCTGTGATACAGGTGACATCATATCCCGGCCACACCCCGTTCTTGGCCTGGTCTGCCCCCGCCCCCCCCACTGGACCTCTGCGCCTCCGAGCAAGGTGGAAACCTTCCCAGGTTGGCTCCCTTGTCCAGAAAATAAAAGCACTGAAGCCTGCAGGGATGCTCCCTTTTATGGAATGGAGCTGGCTGTTCGTTGGGCTATTTCTTTTATTTATTTATTATTTTTTTTAAAGATTTTATTTATTTATTTGAGAGAGAAAGAAAGCATGCGTGGGGGGCGGGGCAGAGGGAGAAGCAGGCTCCCCGCTGAGCAGGGAGCTCAGTTGGGCTATTTCTAAGAGGCTACCCAGGATGACTGTATTAAACACCTCAACTTGGCCTCATAAACAGTACTCTGGGAGTAAAAGTCATCAAACTAGTCCCAAGAGGTCCCCTACCCCCTTCCTATTCCTACGCTGTGGGAAAATTACAAAATTGGCCAGAAGTGGAGAGTACAATTCTGGGGCACACCCACTGGCCGTTATTTTTTAGGGCACCCTCCTTCTCTAGGGCTGACAAGCTGGCCCTGGCACTCCGTGGTCCTGCCCCTGACCTCCGGTTCTGGGTAGGAGGGCGTGTGCCCTGATGTGGGCGCCTGCCCAGCCCGGCTCTCCCATCCTGCCCTGTGTGCCAGTCACATCCTCCCCACGGGCAACCCTGCTTATGGTGTTCTAAGCCAGTGTAGTCCTGGCTTGCACCAGAAGTGGGCAGGGGAGCGGGGGAGCTGCCTGGCTAGTAGACCTGACCCAGCCATACCCATCTGCACCACTTGCAGCCCTCGCTTATCTTCTCCCCCAGTGCAGATCAGCCTGCCCCCGAACATGCGCATGACGGCCAGCGACGGCACCCGGTACATAGCGGAGCAGATGCACTTCCACTGGGGTGGCGCGTCCTCCGAGATCAGCGGCTCCGAGCATACCATCGACGGGATCAGATTTGTGGCTGAGGTACTTTGAGGACCCCGGCCAGGTCCTCTTTCCTCTTTCAAATATCACTGTCACTTTCCTTATGAAAACAGCCACAGAGACTGCATGATGACAGTCAAGTCACCCTAAGGTTGATTTTTTTTTTCTCATTCATTCACAGCTACTTATTGATCCCTGCTATGTGCCAGGGGTTCAGGCAAGGTCCCGGCTCTCACAGAATGCACAGCAAGGCAGGAGTTTACAGCCCATAGAATGGGGCAAGCCCTCTTTGGTTTCAGTTGAATTTCTATGTGTTAGATTTTCAGGGTTCTCTCTCTTGCATAGATCTGTCCTTAGGATGACCATGGTTTACAGTGTCCTCCAGAGCAAGGTGACTCATGCCCACTCTGGGAGACCTCAGGAGAACCCAGTGGCCTCATCTGAGCCCTCCGGACACTGCCAGATCATCTGCCTGGAGGGAGGTGGGGTCAGGGACATGCCCTTGAATTGCCATCTCCCCAGAATCCCACTCACGCTCTTTCCATTCCTAGAGGACTTTCTGGTCTTGATAGATCTCATGCCCAGATGGGAGGAGGTTGGAGTTGTTTAGGAGGGACAGTCTCTTGCTTTTCATTCTCCCCTGAAAACCTGAAGCATTTGAAGTCTGTATGGGCCACCTTTGACTTACTCTTTCTTGCTCCCACAGATTCACATTGTTCACTACAATTCTAAATACAAGAGCTACAACATAGCCCAGAGGGAACCAGATGGTTTGGCTGTGCTGGCAGCCCTCCTCAAGGTAGGCTGAAACGACACATGTGAAGTCATAGATTGGCGTCCACAGTATCAAGGGTAGACAAAGGGTCTTCCTCCCTGTCCCTCCTCATCTGTGTCTGAGCTCACCGTTCTTGAAAAAACTCTGACCCAGTGAAGCCCTTGCTCACAGTCACTGGGTTCCTTCTGTGGGACCAATCTCGGAGACCTTGGATAAGTGTGACAGCTGACTTAAAAGAGCTAGGATCACAGCACAGTTGACCGAACATAAACCAGCCTGAGGGCAAGGGGGAGCCAGATGAAGTCAGCACCTCTGCTTTTCTCAGAAAGTCTGGAGGGCAGGACTTGTGGCTATAGGCGGCAAGAAGTGGTCAATGAACTCAGTTTCCCCCAAACAAGTATTAAGTTGGATAAAATGGCCAAAAACCACTATATCCCTACTCTGGAAATGGACTAAAGGCAAACAACGCATTGAGGCATTTATTTTTGAAAAGTGGCTAGAATTTTGAATAAGAACAATGGCGCTATTCCTATCCCCACCCCCTAACTTGGTCAGCAAGGCAGTTTTACTGGGGCAGGCTGGACAGGAGAATGAGCAGCCTCACTGCCTGGGGGCAGGCAACTCACTTGATTTGGAGTGTGAGTTGAAAACCCATGCCCCAGGCTCTAACAGTAAAAGTACTGGAAAGCAAAAGCTGAGGCTGTCCTGATAACTGTCTGATCTCTGAATGTGCTTCTTAGCTCACAGATCCATCAGCAGAGGGTGCGAATCTGATGGGCTTGAGGGGTTTGAACAACAACCTCTGCTAAAATCATGGACTGACCACAAAGCTCTGCTGACCCTAGGCAGTTCTTAGAGGGCCCTAGGAATCCAGGCCAAAAATTAGATTTAAGAACAGAGTGGAGATATCACCTGGTGTACATGGCCAGGGAGACACATCCTGCAGATGAAGGCCAAGCAAATTCTTAAACAGATACACAAACAAACAAAAAATTATCAGGACAATTTTTAAAAATCAGAGTTCATATTTACTATCGTATATTATTTAAACGTCTAGTTTCCAAAAAAAAAAAAATCTGGGCATGCAAAGAAATAGGAAAATACGATCCATATTTAGGAGAAAAAAATGTAGTCAACAGATAATGACTCTGAGTGGACTCAGTGATTAGCAGACAGGATTTTCAAACAACCATCATAAATGGGTTCAAGGAATTAAAAGAAACTGTTCAAAGAATTAAAGGAAAGTATAATGACAATGACTAAAAAAAGGGAAATCTCGATAGAGAAACAGAAATGATAAAAATGCACCAAATGGAAAGTCTAGAGTTGAAGAGTTGAAAATTCGTGACATGGTCTCCAAGCAGATATGAGGCAGCCGAAGAAGGAGTCAGTACATTTGGAGCGAGATCAAAGAAATTATTCAATCTGAGGAACAAAGGGAAAGATTGAAGAAAAATAAGCAAAGCCTTAGAGATTCACGGGAACAAGATCACACAGCCCAACATACACCTAATGGGAGTCTTGGAGAGGAAAAAGAGAAAGTGATAGAAAAAATATTGCAGAAACAATGGCCCCAAATTCCCCAAATTTGATGAAAAAACAACAATTCACTAAACTGGGTAACTGAACAAAACTCATGTCTGATCAGAGTCGAAGTCAAACTGTTGAAATCAACAAGAGAAAAAGGATTTTTTTATAAGTAGGGGACTGACAGTACAACTAATAGCCAACTTCTCTTTAGAAACAAGTCATCAGAAGGCCATGGAAGGACAGTCAGCCAGGAATCCTAATCCAACTAAACACCCTTCAACAACAAGGTGAGACAAAGGCATTCCCAGATACAGAAAAACTGAGATAATCGTTAACAGATCTGTCTTGCAAGAAATATTACAGGAAATCCTTCTGGCTGAGAGGCAATGACAATAGACAGTAACTCAAATCCACAGAGAGAAATGAAGAATGCTGGAAATGGTAACTATAAAAGACTATGTACATATATTTTTGTCTTGTCTTTAAAAATTTTCTTTTAAAAAACCCACAGGATTGTTGAAAGCAATCATTATACCACTTGTTGTTGGGTTTACAATATAGGTAGATGTAATGTCAGTGACAAAAGTGGGAAAAATAGAAATAGAGCTAGCTTGGAGCAAAGTTGCTATATTTTATGGGAATGAAATTAGTATTAACCTGACGTAGGTTGTGATAAGTCGTAGATTGAACAGTAGTTCCCCCTTATCCTTGGTTTAACTCTCCCAGGTTTTAGTTACCCTCGGTCAAGTGCAGCCCAGAAGCAGACGTTCCTTCTAGTGACGTATTCCAGGAGCCTAATGCTAGGTCACAGCACCTACATCATTCACCTCCTTGCATAGGCATCACCTATCATCACGCATCATCACGAGAAGAGTGAGTGCAGTAAAATAAGATATTTTGAGAGAGAGAGAGAGAGACCACATTCACATAACTTTTATTTCAGTATATTGTTATAATTGTTCTGTTTGATTATTAGTTATTGTTGTTAGTCTCTTACTGCATCTAATTCATACACCGAACTTTATCACAGGTATGTATAGGAAAAAATGTGGTATATATCTGGTTTGGTGCTACCCGTGGTTTCAGGCATCCCCTGGGGGTCCTGGAATACCTTCCGTTCAGATAAGGGGGGACGGCTGTAATCACTAGAGCAACTACTAATAATTAAAAATGGCTAAATGGGGGGCACGCGGGTGGCTCAGTCGTTAAGCATCTGCCTTCGGCTCAGGTCATGGTCCCAGGGTCCTGGGATCGAGCCCTGCTTCGGGCTCCCTGCTCATCGGAGAGTCTGCTTCTCCCTCTCCCACTCCCCTGCTTGTGTTCCCTCTCTCTCTGTCTCTCTGTCAAATAAAGAAATAAAATCTAGAAAAAAAAATGGCTAATGGTACACGGAAAGTATTGGTTTCACACAGAAGGTGGAACAGAAGAACAAAAATCCACGAGGCACCTAGCAAAACAAACAGCGAGCGACTGTCATAGATCCAAGAAATCGGAATTCATACACAGCGGAAGAAGAACTGGATCAATACCACTGACTGAAAAGAACCACTGAAAATTCACCTTTTTCACCAAAAGTAATGTTTCTGACTTCTAAAGAGTCAACACTCACACTAAACAATGGTGACCCAACAGGGGGCAGAACTGGAGCAGTTTTGCCTTGGACAGAGGGCTGTCCCCAGCTCAGTCACGAGTCCTGAGGTTGGGGAAGGGGGCACATGAGACGAAGCCCCCCTCATCACAGGGAACCGGCCTGAGGTGAACCCTGCCCAGAGTCCCTGGGGGGTATGGTGACAGTGACTTTGGGCCATGCCCTGAGGGCCTCGCGGGTCACCGCCGAGAAAGCTCTTTCTCTGGAAGCTGTAAAATGCTTCCGTCCTGTCTCCCTGGAAGAGACTATTGAGCCCAGGCAGTTGGTGGCAAAGAACAGCCAGATGATCTCTCCCCGCACAACAGGGGCTGTGGACGGGCTGCCTCCTCCCCGCCCCCCAGGCTCTGCCCAGGCAGCAGGGACACCAAACAGCTGGGTTACCAGACGGAGGTCCCTTTTCCATTTGATGCACCGCTCTGTGTTTCTCCTCCAGGTCTCGGATTATGGTGGAAACACTTACTACAGCAACTTCATTGCTCACTTGAACAACATCCGGTATCCAGGTGAGGAAAGCCCACAGCAGCAGCAGGGGGGCCGGGAAGGGGGGCGGGGGACGTGGGCAGGCAGGGTGGCACACAGGCCCCGCCAGGGGAGCGCCCTTCCCTGGGCCAGGGCTCTCGTGACAGCGATTCCTGCTGTCGGCTCAGGCTGCGAACACCTCCAAGAAACGTGTTCACAGACCCCACCTGCTGATTCCCACAGCTGGAGGCTGGGGCACCACGGACTGGGGATAGCTTCGCTTCACCTCTGGTTCCAGTGAGTAGGGATGACCGTGGGCACTAGAGAGGGAGAGAGGGAGAGAGAGGGGGAGGAAGAGAGAGAGAGAGAGAGAGATGTCCGTGCCTGGACAGGGCTGGTCTCCCTTTCCCCTGCCTCCAGAAGGCAGAAATCTTGTCTGAGAGGCCACCTATCCCTACAGCCTGTGACCCGAGCAACAACCACATCAGCTTTGACACTGGCTTTGTGCTTCTGACTTTGGCCGCCTCGCCCAGACTCCGGTTCCCTGACTTCAGGTCCCGCTCCTCCAGGGGGTCCCTTGACCTCCGACCCATGGGCCTTCTGTTCTCACCAGTGCGTGAGTGGGGGTGGGGGGTGGGGGGGAGGCAGGAGGAGAAGCAGGGGGAGGAGCCCACTCCCCTCTGAGCGTGGAGCCTGATGACGTGCGGCTCCATCCCAGGACCCTGGGGTCACGACCTGAGCCAAAGGCAGATGCTTAACCCACTGAGCCACCTAGGCGCCCCCAACTGCTGTTATTTTTATTCATAGCTACAAATACGAGCATGTATTAACACTGCCTGGAAATCCTAAACTACTCATCTGGGCCTTTGCCTTTTCCTCTGCAGAATGCTTATTTCACATTTTCTCCCTTCCCTCGAAGCCCCTCTACCCTGGCCCCAGCCTCCCCCTTGGAGCGGATCAGATGCCTTGTTCCCGCTTCATCGAGAAGGTGGTCAGACGCTTACTCATCTTCTTAACGCATGGGCACCTGCCTAGCCCCACGTCCCCTCCTCTGTTACAGTGGGTGAGAGTCCGTGCTCCCTACCAAGACCCCAAGACTGGCCCCTCCACACGCGCACCCCCCGCCCCTCCCTCTCAGGGTCCTTCCACCTGCTCGCCTCTCTCCCGTCCCCCAGCGCCAATTTCTTACTGTTCATCTGTCATCCCGCTCAGCACACAAATCTGTGCTCTAACACCTCCCGGTTCAAAACACAAGCAAACACGAGTGTCTTTTGACCCAGCCACTCCCTCACCTTCCTCCCAGCTCCCATTCGAAGCTCCCTTGAATGTGTTGCCTCATGGTCCTGTTCTGTTTTCTCACTCGGGGCCCCGGCAGGCCACCATCCCTTTAAAGTCACCTCTGTTAGATTGCCTGGTCTCTTCTCTTTTCTCTTAATTGACCTGGAAACAATGATCCATCACACCTGGCTCTCGTTCTGGCCACACTCTGGCTCACGCCCAGCTCCGCTCTCTTTCTGCTCCTGCTCTAGATAGTGGGGGGCACCGGCCCTGCCTTCCCCGGGGGCCTGATTCCGTCCCATGGCCTCGATTGCCCTCTCTGGGCCGTGGACTCCAAAAATGTGTATCTGGTCCTCCATGCAGTGATAGTATCAGGCGGGGCAGGTGAGGCAAAGCAGATGCAAAAACCAGCTGGCTATTCTACGGACCACTAGCAAGGCCAGCTGGAGAAACCACAGGCCTGTGGTCTAACTGAGGCATTTCCTTGAATGCACGGACCTCAGATATTCTGTTTTATGAACTGACCCAGATCCATTTCCTTTTCCAATCCAATAAATTGTGCTTCTGATCAATACTGCCCAAAACACTGGCCTCCCTCTCAACTCTGGATTCCTCTATCCAACAACTTCCTTGATACTGCCCTCTGAATCTAAAACTTAACATGGCCCAAACCTAAATGGGTTCCCTACCACCCATCCCCAGGCTTGTCCCTAAACCAACTTCCTCATCTCAGCAAAGAGCATCATAATCCATCCCATTGTTTAAGCCCCAAATTCCAGAATCACTCTTTTTTTTTTTTAACTTTTTTAAAAAAAGTATTTTTAAGGGGCGGCTGGGTGGCTCATGACCTTCAGCTCAGGTCATGATCCCAGGGTCCTGGGATCGAGTCCCGCATTGAGCTCCCTGCTCGGCAGGAAGCCTGCTTCTCCCTCTCTCACTGCCCCTGCTTGTGTTCCCTCTCTCCCTATGTCTCTCTCTGTCAAAGAAATAAATTAGTCTTTAAAAAAAATTATTTTTAAGTAGGCTCCACCCCCAATGTGGGGCTTAAACTCATGACATCAAGAGTTGCGTGCTCTACAAACTGAGCCGCCAGGCACCCCTCCCAGAATCATTCTTGATTTTCCTCTTTCCATTATCCTTCATACCCAAACCATCAGCAGGTCTTACTGTTTTCACCTCCCTGCTTTCAATCCTCTTGCCTATAGGCTGAGAAGTAGAATTGCTGAATCATATGGTAAGTCTCTGTTTAATTTTTAAAGTCGCCGTCATATCATTTCCCATAGCGGTTGCACCACGGTTCTGGAATTCTTGACTCACTTAAATATATTACAGTGATGAAACTATGTGCTAGAGCCTTTAGAAGGTTGTATCTTGAAGCCTTTCCAATAACACTAAAATTTAGAATTCTTTTTGCCTATTCATGGGATTATGCACTACCAGACTCTGACGCCTTGGTTTAGCAAGCCTATTTACAGCTATGTAAAAACTGTGACCTCTTTGCCATTAAAAAATGCAAAGTGCTCAGGGAAAGTGAAGCAAAATTCAGCTCAACTCCGTGTTTCTTCGATGGTGTCATGCTGAGCTCAGGGGCTCGGAGTCATGACAGGAACGGAAGAGGGATCCTCTAGATGCACTGATGGGTACCGGTGCTGGGAGTCTCTGGACACCCTGCTGAAGCGCTTCTCCCCACACCCCACCCGTGGCTGAGCTTGGTTTCCTTGGGGCACGGCAGAAGGAGCTCAGGACCGGGTGCCTGCATCCCCACTTGGTTCTGAGTCTGCCTTTCTAATCTCTATCCACCCCTTTCTTTTTTTGTTAAGATTTTTATTTATTCACTTGAGAGAGAGAGAGCGAGAGAGAGAGCACGAGACGGGGGTGGGGCAGAGGGAGAAGCAGACTCTCCGCTGAGCGGGGGGGGCCTGATGTGGGACTTGATCCCAGGACCCTGGGATCATGACCTGAGCCGAAGGCAGATGTTTAACCAACTAAGCCACCCAGGCGCCCCTCTATCCACCCATTTCTAAGTAAGCCCAAACCAAGGAATTTTGTTATTTCTTGGAGAGTTCTTACCCAGAAGCCCCTAGCAGTCATAATTCTTTCATTTATCATAAAGCGTATTCTCTACCCAACAGTCTTGTAATGACAGGCTCATGAGTACTTTCCTATGCGCAAGTTCAATGGCCAGACCTTATAAGCACACCCCTCCCCCTTTATCCTTGTAGCAATCCTATTGAACATTCCCTTGTCACAGATGAGGGAGCAGCCTTTGAGGAGTGAGCACCCGACCAGTGCCACGCAGCTAGGAGGAAGTATCTGAGTGGGTCTCTCCCCAAAGTCTTTGCTCTTACCCCCTTCTAGGAAGCAGCAGGCTGGGGAAATGTTTCTAACGTTCAGCTTCTATGTTCTGGTGAATCAGGAGATTCGAACATGGAGAGGTCTGAGCCTGAGCTGTCCTCCCAAGGGACACCAGTGGCCCCTCAGCTTCCTTTATCTTTTGTCCTCTCTGTTAGGACAAAGCACGGTTCTGAGTGGCCTTGACATTCTGGACATGCTCCCCGTGAACATCCACCACTACTACAGCTATAGGGGGTCACTCACCACTCCTCCCTGTACCGAGAACGTCCACTGGTTTGTGCTGGTCCATCATGTCCCGCTCTCCAGCGCACAGGTAAGGCATGGCATCACCTCCCAGTCTCCCCTTCTGACTGCCTGGCTGACAAGAGTGCTCCCCTACATCTCACCTCATGCCAACACTTGGCTCCTAGGGTGCTTTCATGCCCGGGGCTACTGTGCCTCACCTCTGTGGCCATGTGTGATCTTACCAGCCCCCTGGCAGAGATGAACAAGTTGAGGCATCAGGGAATCCAAGGAGCCCTGAGACCTTGGATGCAGCAAAAGGACTGGGACCTGACCTCAGTCAGAGAAGAGCTGCATGGTGGAGGCAATGTTTACTGAGCAGATGCTCCCACCAGGTACTGTTCTAGGCCCTTGACGGACAGAACCCCCTTCCTCACGGAGCTTACATTCTAACTTCATAAATGGCTTTAGGCAAGGACATATTGACATACTGACATCGTTAGCTCTTTACCGTGCTAACACTCCTGCAGCCCTTTGAGGAGAAGAGCTGTATTGGCTACCTTTTGTTCCCCACATAGCATGGTGCATAAGAAATATTTGTTGCGTTAATGAAAGGACAAATGTAACTGAGGTCGCAGAGGCAAAGCTACATTTCCTTCTGAGTGATGTTCTTCCTCAGGAACAAATAGACCTTTTTCTTAAACTTTTCACTTCCCCAATGCAGGAAAAGGTGGAAAGACCCCTATTCAAGGATACTCACACACAAATCTGTTTGCTTCTTTTCCTCCTTTCTACTGGTGATCATTTTTTTTTAAGATTTTATTTATTTATTTGAGAGAGAGGATGAGAGATAGAGAGCACGAGAGGGAAGAGGGTCAGAGGGAGAAGCAGACTCCCTGCCGGGCAGGGAGCCCGATGCGGGACTCGATCCCGGGACTCTAGGATCATGACCTGAGCCGAAGGCAGTCGCTTAACCAACTGAGCCACCCAGGCGCCCCTCTACTGGTGATCAAATATTCATAGAAAACAATTAAAAGAGATGTTTGGAAGAATGGATGGATGGTTGGAAGAATGGATGGATGGATGGATGGATGCATGGATGGAAGGATGGATGGATGGAGGGATGGAAGGATGGATGCTCTGCCTGCCATATAGCAGAACTTGAGATCTTCTCATACCTGCTTTATCAGGATTATAGAAGTAAACCCAAGCTCTAGTTCAGCGGCTAATTATGCTCTTTTAAACCACCCAGTACCTCTTCCCCTCCATAATTCACTTCATGTGGCCTGTAGATTTGGAAGCTAGAGAATTCCATAGTGGATCACCAGAACAAGACCCTCCAAAACAACTACCGGAGGACCCAGCCCCTGAACAACAGAGTGGTGGCAACCAACCTCATCAATCTCCCTAGCCGGGGTAAGATCAACTCTTGTTTATCCTTTGCAATTTTTTGAGTCCTGTTTTCTTCCTTCCCTGGGTGGACACATCTCTTCTGGCAATAGTAGGGAAGGGAGAGTCATCTAAAGGGCAGGAGGCTCGGATGGGCCAATCTGTACAGGGCATGTGTGGGCAGAAGAGATGGCTCATCTCCCCAGTCCAGGCAGTGATGCCAGTGGGTAGAACAGAGACCCCAAGGATAGACAGTTACATGATTTATTTCCTACTTGGTCTTGGCCAGAGGCAGCAGGAGAAGCAAGATGCTCAGCAACCTCCTGACGCTCCCATAAGAGTGTAGGCTCAAGGTATCCTTATTAAACACAACTCAAAATTATTTCCCTCACACCTCTATCTTGGTCTGTTCCCAAGCCCATCCCCAATTCCCACACATTCCCTCAAGGTGGGATTAGCTAGAGCATGTATTGTTTACCAAATTTTCTTGGGGATCACGCCCCAGACACCAGGGTGCTGGAAGTAGGCATGACCAGTCCGGCCTCCCTGGGACCCTCTAACCCACTGGGTCAGGCTTCTTGGCTCACCTTATTGCTGTGGTTGCAAGAATGCAATTATTCTGCAATTTTCCCATCTTTATTTTATCTGTTTCTCTGTAAAATTGTGGTGATCTGTAGACATTCCCTGAATTCATTGTCTTTACAGTCTATTTCTCCTAACCATTCCTGAAACCTTTACATCCTCTAATACAATAGAGTTGGTCTCCAATCAATATTGCCCACTCAATATTACCCCAACTAATTTTTTTTTACCCCAACTGATTATATGTATTTTTCAAAACTTTTAAATATCCAGACATGCCCTCCCCTTCCGTCCTCATCAGTAAAGGCCTGTTTGTGATTTTGTCCCGATCTTTCCTTCCTGGTTCATTGATTGTTTTCCCTTGCATTTGGTTGCTCCTCCAACAATACTAACAGAGGAAAAAGGACACCAGTTATAACGATCACTTCCCCATATTACACTAATACGATATTAATAGTGCCCATTCCTTTTCCAAAGGGTGACATCCTGCTAAGAAGGTCCAAATGCTAGCAGCCTAGCCAAAGGGAGCATAGACCCACTGATCCTCCTCCTTGTTCTAATCCTGCCATGTTCCCATTTTCCCTGCAGATTGTATAGTTTCCCATATGGCACACCCCAAATGCTCTTTCCACAAGGGGGGTGTGTCACTCCAGTTCACCCTCAGGAGGGCGCCCAGGTGGCTTAGATATCCGACCAAGATGCCCCACATTGCAGTTTGCCTAGATGTCCGTTGTGCCCACCCTTCTGAGACTCACTGTTTAAGATTATTACTTCAGCTCCCAGTAGATAGTAAGAAGGCTTCTTCCCCCACTTGCAGCCAGGGCACCGGAACGACAGCCTCCCTCTGTGTTAAGAGAACAGAACTGGGCAGCATCTTGCCCCACCTGACCTCAGACCCAGACTTCTGGGGAGCAGCTCTGGTCTCGGGTCAGCGAGGTTGTGTCACCCACCTGATGCCTCACAGTTCCACCGATTTCCACCCCCTGATGGGTTAATATGATCAACCCATCAATAAGGAATGACCTGACAAAGAAGCAAGGTTACAAAAGCAAGATAATGGCCAAATATAGATGTTTTGCAATTCATTTGTTAGAAAACACCCACGTCCCCTTAAGGTCAGGGCTCCTCAGCATCACATGAGAAACCAAGGTCCAGGCGTAGAACCACCTTTGACATCTCAGCCCTTGGATTCTGGCAGCTTACACACCTAAACTCAGACAGTGTGAAGGTGCTTGAAGCCAATGGGATGGGAACATGGAGGGCATTCTAAGGAACCTAAACTCCTTCCCGTAAGTACAGGTGTGGGGAATGGTGTCTGGCTGTCCCACATTCTGTTTTCACAAGGACCACCAAACTTTTGACCTTTCTGTATGAACTCTTCTTTTTATAGGATATAATCTAGGTCCTGAGTTCCAGCTTTATGTAAACAAGCTCAACGATAAGCTGGAATACTTGAGAAGACTTACTGACAAGAAAAACACGAAAGAAAAACGCTACAGGCAGCAAGCTTGAACACGGGGGGTGTACAGGACGAGGTGGCCCTCCCCCGAGCCCGCGCCCTGCCGGGCTCGGCCCGGGTCCCCCCGGGCTCTGAGAAATCGCATGTCAGAATGGCAGCCTCCCCGAGGCTCCTGTTCAGCTTCTGAGTTAAGACATGGGAAACCATCATCCGTGAGAGTAAATGAGGTAGTTTAAGGGTGTGAGAAGGGGTTTGTTAGACAACACCAATGGGAATTGATTGGAATAGAAATTTAAAGGAAATGGAGCCCTAAGTATCTTCCTATCAAATCATGCGTGTTGATCTGTGTAAATTACAAAGCAGCCCGGCCTGCCGTGTGGGATTTAGGTGTAATAAAATGTCTTCGGGAATTTGTCATTTGAACATTTCTCTTTTCTCTTCCTTTGTACCACTCTGAATATGCCTTCTTTGCCATCCCCCCAGGGACACCGGCGATGGGACAGAGATCAAGGTGGGAGGGGTTCCAGGACCAAGTTTAGGAAAAAGGAGAGAGTCTTACCTTGGGAACTTGTCGGTGGGGAGGCCTGGAGCCCTAGCCAGGCTGTGTGAGCAAAGGAAAAATAGAGGAGCAGGATTGCAGGCTCCCAGGAGAGATGGTGCAGATCTCGTCCTCATCAGTCAGATGGTGGCTGGGCCTTGTCAGTAGAGCTGGGTTCAAGGGCCAGTTCTGCCGCTTACTGTCATCATCACTTACTGCGATAATCGCTGAGGTTTGGGTACACTGATGCGTGTTTTTGACTAAGGCCCCTTTCTCACCACTGGCTCTTCGACTCTCCCGTCTCCGGCCCAGCCCCCCATGTCCTTCCCAGTTCCTTTGTCCACTCTCCTTACTGGCTTTGTTCCCGCACACACTGTCATCCTTAACCTCTGACTTCCTTTACCCCTCAGCGGAGCTGCATTTCCCCCAGTTTACTGAAACAGAAGCCAAGATGCAGGACAGCCCGGTGACTCGCCCACCATCTCCCAGGGAAAAGATGGTAGAGCCAGGATCTGAAGACAGGTCTTTTGTATCCAAGTTGTTTTAGCTACAGAAGGCTTCCCTTTCATTTATCCAAGCTTTGTAAAGCACCTGCCACTTGCCAGGCGTGGAGCTGAGGACTGGGCCACAGAGATGGGGCGGGAGGGATGGTTTCTACACTGGGAGCTCAAGTCCCGTGAGCAGGACAGACCTTGAGCTAACCCATCACCCTCTCCCGGAAAGAACAACTGTGTGTGACCTCCGCAGAGGGGCTGGTGCTTGGCCTGGGTTGAAGGAGTTCACCTGGGGAGCCCAGCGGGAAGGCAAGGGGCGCCGCAAGCGGGAGTGGGGGGTGCTGGGAGGGGTGGTAGCTTGTGCTGAAGGGAAAACACAAGGGAGGGAGAGTTTGGTGCCGCTGGAGGAGCAGGTTCAAGGGAGCCGGCAGGGAAAGGGGGTAGGGGGGAGGTCAGGCACACTAGCACCTCTGTACCACTGAGGTGTTTTGGATCTTCTCCTGTGGGTGATGATGGGCGGCTGCTGCAGGATGCTCAGCCAGGAAATGGCATTCGCTGTGGTAAGATTCATCCTCTCCCCCAGCAACGAGGCTCTGCGATGAACTGGAGTGGAGACAGTGAGCAGCGCAGCCCAGGGGTTTATGTAAACAAGTGAACGAAGACATAAACAGGATTACACATGCCTGTCTGTGCTCAAAAACAAGGGGAAAATGAACCAAAAATTAATTATAATGGTTACCTAAAAGGGGAGGCAGAAGAAGAGTGGAGGACGGGGCTGGAAGTTGGGCTTTTCTGAGCGCACCCTGTTCGGTAGTTTTAACTTTGGAAACTTCCTTTTTACATCCCTTTTTATATTTATTCATTTGAGACACAGAGATACAGAGAGAGAGCATGAGCTGGGGGAGAGGCAGAGCGAGAGGGAGAGGCAGGCTCCTCGCTGAGCCCGGAGCCTAACATGGGGCTCGATCCCAGGACCCCGGGATCGTGACCTGAGCCGAAGACAGATGCATAACCATCTGAGCCACCCAGACGCCCCCTGTTTTACATCCTTATAAAACAAAATTAAATTTTAAAGATCTTTTTAAATCCCTAAAACTTAACTTAAAATGTGAAAACATAGTACAATGACCGAATAGTTGTATATTGAGTTGTTAGCATACACAGAGAAGAATTTTTCCAAGTTATTTTAATTTACTAATTTTATTTTATTTATTTATTTTTTTAGTCTTGAGGTCTTTTATTTTCTTGACATTTATCATGCCATGAATTCATAGGGAATGGGTTCCAGCAGTTCGGGCTCCTTTGCATTAGTTCTCACACAGTGGGCTGCTCTGGGTGGGGCCGGCTGGCGCTTCAGCTGAACCCAAGGACCTTTCTCTTTGGCTCCCTTCTTTTTCTGATCATTTTCCTTCACACGCTTCAGGAAGCTGTCTCGGCTCTTTGCGTGTTTAATATGCTCAATGCGTACATTAATTCTCTTGGCAAGAATCTTGCCCTTAACTTGTTTGTTTACAACACTGCCAACAGCATGCTGAGCAACATTGTAGACTCTTCCAGTTTTGCCGTGGTAACATTTGCGGGGCATTCCTTTTTGAACAGTGCCCATTCCCTTGATGTCCACAATACCACCTTTCTTATAGATTCGCATGTATGTGGCCAAAGGAACAACTCCATGTTTTCTAAAAGGTCTAGAGAAGATGTAGCGGGTACCTCTCCTCTTTCCCTTTGTGTTGGTCATTTTGGCAAATTACTGGAAGATGGTGGTTCCAGCTGAAAGGCAATTTACTAATTTTATTTTTTAAAAGATTTTATTCATTTATCTGAGAGAGGGGGAGCGCGAGAGGCAGGAGGGTCAGAGGGAGAAGTAGATTCCCCACTGAGCATAAAGCCCAATGTGGGGCTCTATCCCAGGACCCTGACATCACGGCCTGAGCCAGACACTTAACCAGCTGAGCCACCCAGGCACCCCTAATTTATTTTTTTAAAGATTTTATTTTTAAGTAATCCCTACACCCAACATGGGACTCCAACCTACAACCCCGAGTTCAAGAGTTGCACGATCTACCAACTGAGCCAGCCAGGCCCCCACCCAAGTTATTTATTTATTTATTTATTTTAAAGATTTTTATTTTTTAAGCAATCTCTACACCTAATGTGGGGCTTGAATTCATGACCCTGGGATCCAGAGCTCCATGCTCCACCGACTGAACCAGCCAGGCGTCCCATCCAAGTTATCTTTAAACATGGTGATTTTACTATCACACCTAGTGGGGTAGGTGTGTCCTAAGGACAAGAAGAACTGCAGAGAAATCCAAACAGTACTCAGGAATCTTGTCAGTATCTGGTCAGTACAAGTATTGTTACTTTGAAGATGTATGCCCACCTGTGTGTAATTGCTACACTATGTTACTATATGGACATAATTATGTTTATGCCCTCAGTAACAAGATTTTCAGGATAATATAACAGAGATCCAAATATAAAAGCAAAAAGCTAAGTAAAAACCCTGTAATTTTAAATTCGAATTGGAAATATCAGCGTGACTTGATAAATTCTTTTTCTAAAGGGCTTGTATTTTATAGCCTTATGTACTTCTCAGGCCTGGAAACAACCATGAGCAGCAACAATGGACACCTTGTGCCTGGACAGTGGTCTCTCTCTTTCCCACCATGAGGAACCAGGGCTCCTTGGAGAGATGCCGAGTCCAGATCTGGGGCAAGGATATACAGGATGGGTCTGGGGTATCTTTTTAGGCCAGAAAACAAGAAATTTACCTAAAACTACTGGAGTCATGCCCAAAAGACACAGGGGCCATCTGGAACGGGCTCTTGGGACAACCTAAGCATCAAAAAAAAGAAAAAATCAGAGAAAGAATAAAACTGCAATGGATCAAAACATATCAAATATACAGAAAATTCATGAGCTCATATGGTGCTAAAACAATGAAAGAAAACTCACTGGTCAACTTTGGAGGTTGCTAGGGGAACAACTTATTATTCTATAAAGTGAAAACAGAGGAGAAGAAGCAGGTGTTTGTCCTGCCTTTTCTGTCCAAATTGTATTTTGGAGAAATCTCATAGTGGGTTCTGGGCTGCTGTAGCCAATGACCACAAACTGCCTGGCTTAAAAGAACAGAAATGTATTTTTTTTCCACAGTTCTGGAAACCATAAATCCGAAATTAAGGTATTGGCCGGGCCAAGGTCCCCCCAGGCCTCTAGGAGAGAGACCTTCCCTGTTTCTGTCAACTCTGATGCCTCCAGGCTCTTCTTGCCCAGGGCTGCCGGTCCCCAATCTCTGCCTCTGTCTTCACTTCTCTGCTCTCTGTGTCTGTGTCCCTCCGTCTGTCTCTTACAACACTTGTCATCGGCTCTAGGGCCCACCCGACAATCCAGGATGATCTCATCTCAGAATCCCTCATTAAAATAAAATTAAAAGTCCTTAATGGCATCTGCAAAGATCCTTTTTTTCAACTAAGGTCACATTCACAGTTTTCTGGGTGGATATACCTTTTTTGGAGGGGGCACCATTCAATCCACTACAGTTGGTGAATGGAAATTCTTCTTGGAGCAATTCCAGCTGGTAAATTCAACAGGAATCGTTTGGCAACCGCAGTGGAGAGGTGGACCCAGGTGATGATCCTCATCAGCTCCTAGCACCTGTAGGTGGAAGGTTGAGAAGGTCTTTGCCCAACAGCCTGGTTGCGCCGGCCACCTTTGGAGATACTCAGCAGTATTAACATCACTCCACATGAAATAAGCTAACATTCTGTGCCTCTTGGCGTACACAGCAGTGTCAGTCTAAGACGAGCTGCAAAAGAGAATTTTTTTCTGAGCCTGAATCTAATTAAGCCTGTAACTATGAGCAGTTTTCGGAAAATGCAGGGGATAGAAGACTAGGTGTTCACTGGGGAAGACAAAGGCTCCATGAAGACTGTCCTTCCCAAGAAACTATTCCAAATACCTGAGAAGAGTAGCTGGCGTCTAAGGGTGCTCAGTGACAATGTGCTGAATGAATGAATCT